GTCTTGAAAAGTTTGTAGTTGGGAGCGTTGAGATTACTATCATATTAGTAATCTCAAAAAGTGAATACATTAAGAACAAAATGCAACATTGAAACTCGCTATTGCCTTTCATATTTCATTGCCTGGCCATTTGTACATAACTTTTGATGGCCATGAAAATGTTATGTCTTTGCAGGGAAGAGCAAGGGAAGCTGGCGAGATGAATAAAAGTTTGCTTACACTTGGCCGGGTAATAAACGCACTAGTTGAGAACAATAACCATAGTCCTTACAGGTAATTTATGAAAATTTGCATCCTATAATTTGTTCAAATCTATAATTTGATATATTTTTGCTGAGGTTTTGTGCTATTTGTTTTGTCAGAGAGAGCAAACTGACAAGACTACTGAGGGATTCCTTGGGAGGAAACACAAAGACTTGTATCATTGCCACCATATCACCCTCTATTCAGTGTTTGGAGGAGACACTAAGCACATTAGATTATGCAAATCGTGCCAAAAATATAAAGAACAAACCAGAGGTAACCAATTCAATCAGTTATTTGCTAGTGTACATAAATTTGATTTCTATGATAACAAATTTTACTTTGATTTTTCTATCACCATTTTGCAGCTAAATCAAAAAATGATGAAATCTGCCATGATGAAAGAGTTATGCTCTGAGATTAATCGGCTCAAACAAGGTCTGTGAATGTTGTTAAATTTTAGAACACTATCTCAGTCTCAGTCATCATCCGTTAATCTATTTACTCCGCTCCCTATTCCTTGCATTTGAGCATAAAAAATCAATTTAAACTTTTTGATCTTGTGGGTGTCATCTTTAAATTTAGGGGCATTTACATACATACCACCTAACCACCATTTTAACTTTTAAGAAGTGAAATAAACTTTTTTATGCATAGTAAGGTGGTGTGTGTGTAAACATTGACGTAAAGGTTTTAGATATGTAAATACATAGGAATTGAGTGGTATGCATGTAAATCTTCCCTAAATTTAATGTTCTCAGTAACAGGCGCTCCAGAAATTCATTCTAGCTTTAGCCCTTGCTTGACACTAAGAAACCATTGCACCGGTATTTGCATTGCATTTAATTTGTAGGGTGGAATGGAACAAAGGAGTGGCTGGGGGAGGCACTCGCCACCCATAAACCATTACTAAACCCTTTTTATTATATAATAAACTAAAAAATTTGCACACCTTAATGTTTAATACTTAATAATAATTTATTATTAATTATACTTTAATTTAATAATCATATTTATAACAGTTACAAAATGTATCAGGAGATTATAGTTTTAAAGTTAAACATTTGCCAACTCTTGATTTTTGATTTCGCCGCACCTCATTTTAAATTGAATCCCGCCACCACCATACACAAACATATGCAGACAACTCATTATCATTCTACCAATATCACCTAGAAATCTCTAAGAACTTAACTATTTCATAGTACAAACATCCATGGCTAGCATCAAATCTTTCAACCTTAAGTTTCAAATTTCCTTGAGCCAATTTACATAGAAATCTGGAGAAGTAGCGAAAAAAATACTAAAAACAAATTTTTACCACACATTTAAGCACAATCCTCATTACACCAAGTGATTTAGCATTTTGTATCTTTTAGTTTTGCTTCAAAGTGTGCCATTGTTAATTTTTTTATGAACCACATGCGCAGAAGTAAATGTTGCAAGAGAGAAAAATGGAATATACATCCCCAGGGATCAGTTCCAGCAAGAAAAAGCTAAGAAGAAAGTTGGCATGTAATATACTGTTAGCATGATAGCATCAAGCAGAAAATATTTCCATCAGATAATAACCCCTCACACATTATTTCAGGGCTCTGGCAGAGAAAATTGAAAAAATGGAATTTGAATTGGAACAAAAAGAAAAGGTAACTTCTACCGTTTCATCAAAGTAAGATTTACATACATACCAGTTAGTTACTGTGTATTTACATATATAACACCTAAACTTTAATTTTTAAATATATGCCAACTTACATATGAGTGAAAAGGTGTATTTCACGTTTCAAAAATTAAAATAGTGGTTTTTTAATGTTATATGAAAGATTTGGGTGCTATAAATGTAAAAAAAATGAAGTTTAGGTATTGGATATGTAAATACATAATAATTGCGTGGCATGTATGTAAATGCGCATTGATATCGCATTACGATTCACATTGCGTGGAAATGCACATTGCGTGGCATGTATCGCATTACATTGATATCGCATCAAAAGTTATGAACCTAATCAATGTTTGCATTACGATTCACTTATCGCTTTTCACTAGTTGGTGAGAGGGAGGCATGGACCTCCTTCCCTCTCCTAACTTGTTGGACACCTCAGAGGCCTATTAAACTTAATATTATTCGCTTAATGAAATCATTCTCAATTAAACTTTTAAGGACTCACCAAAATATGACATAGAGTTAGGAAAACCCCTCAGAACTCTATTTTTCCTGCTCTTTATAAATTCCCTAACATGCATTTTAAATTTCAGTTGGTGGAACGAGAAGACTTGTCAGGTACACTTTTACAGTTTTCAGTGTTATCCTTCTTATACTTTCGTACTGTACTTTTATACCTGCAAATTTGCATGTTAAACAACGATGTCACCCTGCATGAAAACTAAAACCATCAGGATAGCCACATAACCATAACCAAAACCAAAATCTAAAATCAACCAAGATAAAATTCACCGCCAGAACATTCAAAATATAAAACAACTCAAACTACAACTTCAACTAAATTAAAACATCTCCATTGGATGATCGGGAATCCCTCGGAGGAGGTAACCTACGGTTGCTAA